TTACCTCTTAAGAAATCAGACATAAAAGAATAAGAGTTTTTTTTTATTTATTTTTTTTTTATGAAAAACAAACGATGCCTTAGTTTTCACTTCTAAAAATCGATACTTAAGGTTACGTAGTTCAAAATCTTGCTATCTAAAGGTTTATGTGTTGTAAATTAATTATCGGCAACGTGCTTTATAAAAACACGCAACTTTTTTTCATAAACGTCGTCGTTGAGTATTAAAAACATGAAAAAATTCAAACTACAGACTTTTAAGATTTTTAAAGATTATTTTCCAAAAATATGAAAAAATAAATCAAAATAAAATTCGTTTATATATATTTTGTCCATCTTCTCATATTAAGTTTTTTTTTTAACATAGCGATAAATAGGCGAACCTGTGTATGTCTAAACGAGCTTCTATATACTTATTTAACTTATTTTTTAAAGTAAGATTTTTTTTTTGTAAGGGTGTCCGGGCCAAAGCCCGACTAATCCCCGGCAAATTTGGAGGCTAAACATGGCCCCACTTAAATGTCGCCAACACTCCCCTCCCAGGGCTCGAACTCGGGTTCATGACTATGCCATGCCCAAGCCTTTACCACTAGGCTGGAAGATTTTTAGGTATGAAAGTTACATTCGTTAAACTTTGAGGGGTGTTTCGTTATATTAGAAAATATAAGAAACATCAACAACATAACCGAAAAAAGTACATCGAAATCAACCAAAAGTCTTGCAAAATCAACCGGAAAAAATCCCTTGAAATTGACCAAAAAACTTAAAAATTCTTCCATTGTAACACACGAAATCTTCCATTATCTTGAAAAAAGGGTTTTGCCCTTGTATTTCGATCCAAGCTGATGTTCCATCAAGCTTAAATTGTTGTTAGACTTTTTGGTATTGTCTCAAGCTTAAAAATCAGGAAAAAGGGACGAAAACACACGAAACAACAGGTCCCGCGACTTGGAGTGTGACTTCAAGTCGCCACTGAATTTGCAAAACCCTTTGTATATCGAAGCGTTGGACACGTGTGGCCTGTGCCACAGCCTCAAGTCGTGGGCCCAGTCGCAGGGATCAGTCTAAAGCGATTTAATGGTCGATTTTGGGTCTTTTTCGCTTATTTTCGCACCTAACTCACTGCTCCTTCGACTTCTTCCTCACCTTTCTCATTTATTATGCTTGGGAAAGCATTTAAGGCACTTCCTCAAGGATTTCAAATGGGTTTATCATCATTTAAGCTAAGGATTCAAGTTTAGGGTTCAAGCTTCAGGTTCCCGTCTTCATATTCCAGGGTTTTCTTTATTTTCTAGGTTTTTGACAAAACCTAGTATCGTGAAATCATTCTTCACTTTTCTAAAACTATATACATGTCAAAATATCAGATTTTCGTTCTTAAAGTTTCCATTCATGTATTCACATTTTGATTTGGACCACTCAGGCTAGACTTTGGGAGTATTGGAAACTTTGTGCCTTTTGGTAAAATGAACGTGAGGAATGGTTTTATATGATTTAGAGATGACTGTTTCAAAGTCATAACGTGTTCTGAAACCAAAATCAAGTTTATTATTTTACCCACATGGCCACTTGTTGTGCACAAATGCTTATGTGTCAGATGTGGTTGGCATATCTAGAAGTTAAATGTATTAGATCGTAACGCAAATTGATCCATAGGCATAGAAGTCGGTTTCATTGGTATGGACAGGATGGTATTCTTAGTTGTAACTTAAAATGGGCATTAGGTCTTCATAGGCAATATGGTGTGGACTATTGGAGTCGGGCATTGGTCAGTGACCAATATAATATAATTTTCAATGAACGAGTTTAGCTAGGATTTTTGGAGATCTCAAGCCATGGACTTAGTGTGGTTGAACTTGACGACTCCGCAAGTGATAGACCTACAGTGGTTGAGCTTGACAACTCATTGGACTAAAGACATTGAATGGCTGAACTTGATGATTGATATGTGAGTGATGCTCATTAACATGGATACGTGACTTACTGTTATGTTTCATCGTTATCAATGGTAAATGGGGTCTCCCTCTTTATCGCAAGATGTATTGTACCCTTCCAAGGGTGAGAATGGTATTACTGGAATAATTAACTTGACTAAAGCTATGTTTTCGATTTTAAATGTTTTATAGCTTTACTCTTTAACTATTTGAACTCACTAGGCGTAAGTTTAACACTCTTTTTTTAACCACAAGGGTGGTGCCTGATTGGTTTGAGCTTGGCTCCAAAGATCCAAAGTACCAGGAGGTCTCAAGTTCAAATTTAAGGAGGAATAAAAATCCCATTATGGCCACGAAGGTTCAAATGCGGTGACTGCGGGCTATCTGCAAAGCAGTTGGTCGTTCTGGGATTAGTCGGCTTGCATAGCGGGTTGGATATCCAGGTTAATAAAAAAAAGGTCTAACACTTTTCTTAAATAATATGTATATTAGGTTTTCAAGGTGGTGGGGCCACTAATGCTTAAGCGACGTGTTGAATGTCCGTAGAGACATTTTTGGGGATATCGACTTTTGCATGATATTTGGAGTTACGATACTCTAGACGTTCTTCTGGTGCTTGTAATAACACCCGTTCGTAATTTTAACATAGAATTGGTCTAAATTAGTAGGTTGTTAACTACCATCAATTTCTTATGATATAAACTCTTTTATAATTCCCTCTTTTGGGTGATTTTAATATTCTAACGTTTATCCTGTCTTATGTTACGGTTTAAATTCCCTCTTATTTTAGGGATGTTGCATCAAAATCGACCAAAAACTTAAAAATCTTTTGAAATCAGCCAAAAATTTCAATAAATCACTCAAAAAAGGTGGAATTCGGCTGAAAACACATCAAACGACTTTGCAGACCTTTGATCTATCTTAAAAATGCATCTATACGGCAAAAAGACCGCAAAGTTGCCATCGTTTACCGGGTAAGAGCAGGGCCGGTCCTAAGATTTTTGATGCCCTGTGCGAAAATAATAAAAAATGCCCCTAAGCCTATTTTTTTAAGCCAATGAAACAACTAAGCATGCGATTTTTTATAGAGTTTAGAACTTATTCAAGCTAGGTGTCTCATCGTCATGTTGATTTTTATTAATTATAATAAAAATAATTCAATTTGGGTGGGGTGGGGTGGGGTGGGGTGGGGTGGGGGAATAAAAACCAAAACCCCGAATACAAAATATTGAATGATAAAAGGAAAAATCCTGGATTAAGATCGTGTTTCCTTCTTTTCCGGTTTTCCTCTTTCCAAACTGAAATTAGCAAAAATATAAACTTTATTTCAATATATGGGACTTAAAAGACAAAAAAAAAAAACTATAATTAGTTTTTAACTAAAATAGTAAATTACATCCAAATTACTATCATAGTAAGCAAAAAGTAAAACTCAAAAGTTACAGGTCTAACGACTAAAGGCTAAGGGCATATCTGTTAACAGCTTAATAAGCTTAATGAAACTAACAGCTTATTCGCTCAATTATGCATGATTGTTTCGTAGTAGTGGTTTTATGATATAGAAAGTGACTTATCCAGTAAGCTTTTAGGGGGTGCTTTATATAGAAAGCCAAGTTTTTTTCTTCCAAAATGTCCATTCCAACTAAAAAATGCTCCTTATATCAGCGAAAAAACTCTCCCAAACAAAAACTTTTTCAATTATTCAAACAAATTAATTCATACAGGCAACTTTATCCATATAGAACTTAATAAAAAAAAACCAATCAAACAACCCCTAAATCTAATGCAGTAAACAAAAGTCAAAAGAACAATAATAAATTGTAAAATTCATAATATGTTACTGTGCATTGCAAAGAACAAGTGCCCAATAATTAAGACAATTTCAGAATATGTTGTTTATGTTGTGCAGTGTGYTCCAGCTATGTTGATAGAGTGATGTGCTCATGTGCATTGAAAATTTCAATTCTCAGATACTTTAATATGCAAGAAGAAGACTCATTATCAAAATGACAAAAGCCCTTAGCCTTAGCCTTAGCTTAGTAGGTCAGTAACCACATAACCACATGACCCAACTTTATAATAATCAGTTAGAAATTTAGATTTTTTTTTTTTTTGCAAAAAGATTTAAAGATTCATAAATCATAATATGACTCACAGTAACTCGGTTAGTTCAATCAACAGTAGAAGTCAGTTATTCGAGATTTCTATCTTTGATTTCTTGAATCTAATTTCATGACTGTTAATCGACTTGAAAGAGAACTCCATGTCTTCAAAATCGAAATAGTCGAACTTTGAAGAACAATAGGAATTAGATTGAGTTGTTGGGATGATGGCGTTAACTGGTTCACGATGTGCATTAAATATTCATCACTACTAGGCCTTGCGCCTGTTTTTATAGTTAAAGCTCAGTTGTCCAATTCTCAACTTATTAAACCCAATACTAGTAACATATGACAACTTGATGCCCCTTTAGGCTTTGATGCCCTGTGCGGCCGCACGGGCTGCACATGGCCAGGGCCGGCCCTGGGTAAGAGTCATATAATCTTCGTTTACCGGATAAGACTTCTCATCCTTATCATCGTTTTTACCAGATAAGATTCTTGTACTCATCATGTAAGATAAATGATCTAATGAATATTTTTCAGATAAATGTACAGTAAACAATCCCTTAGTTTTTTTATTTAAAACATTTAGGGGTTGTTTGTTTACCTCTTAATAGTTCCATTAAGGTGAATCTTGTTTGACAAAAAAAAAAGTATGCCTCTTAATGGTTTTAAAACCCTCTGAATGATTTTGTATCTCATACCCCCTTTAACCATTAAGCGTGCTAATTTCATTGCAAACAATTATATTTTTTTTACACTATATCATGAGAGTCTTTTAATCATTCTGACCACTTAATCATTCTACACCAAACTATTCAGCAATTATCGAACAACCCCTTATTTTGAGACAAATGATATAAAAATAAGAAAAAGTGAAAATACAAATTTCAAAATATTTGAAAGTGGCCGGTCATTTCAATGGATGCGTCCCGTTATTTTGCATGGTTTGAGGTGGACGCTACATACGACACCATCATACACACACCCGCACCCAACCAAACCCCATCTCCAGACCCTTCTTCCCCTTACCACACTACCTAAAATCTAGGGTTTTTTAATGCTCCTTTTTTTCTCTTCAAATTTCACCACATTGTTCATCTTTCCACCACTTATCATCCTCCGATTCATCAAATTCCCAGGTTTTTTCTCCTTTTTCTTCCTCAATTTTGCGTCATCTGGATGGCGAAGACTAAACCTGGGAAGAAAGATTTGGATTCCTACACAATCAAGGGCACAAACAAAGTTGTTCGACGTATACCATCTTTCTCTATCTCTCTTTCTGTATCTGTCGTTATGCTTGTAGTTGTGATGGAGCTGTGCGTAATGTGTGTGTAGAGTTTTGTTTGATTCTAGACTGTCATTGGATTTTTTGAACAGATGTGTTTGGAATTTTAATTGTTTGACATAAAGGGGTTTGATGTGTACATGCATATATGGTTGTTATCTAGGGTTAAAGTATTGGTTTTTGGTGTTTTGACTATGTATTGACTGGTTTCTGCAGCTGGGGACTGTGTGTTGATGAGACCGTCTGATTCTGATAAGCCTCCTTATGTGGCTCGTGTGGAGAAGCTTGAGGCTGATCACCGGAACAATGTGAAGGTTAGGGTTAGGTGGTATTATCGTCCTGAGGAGTCGATCGGAGGGAGGAGGCAATTTCATGGTGTCAAAGAGCTTTTTCTGTCTGATCATTATGATATGCAGAGTGCTCATACGATTGAAGGGAAGTGTATAGTTCACTCGTTTAAGAACTATACGAAGCTTGATAATGTTGGTACTGAAGACTACTTCTGTCGCTTTGAGTACAAGGCTGCTACTGGGGGTTTTACCCCTGATCGCGTTGCAGTGTGAGTCTTATTTGTTGCTCTTTTGACTAGTTGTATTGCTTACAACTCATTTGAGTATTTTATATACTAATGGTGGAAATTGGGTTTTTTTTACTTGAAGGTACTGCAAATGTGAAATGCCCTACAACCCTGATGACTTGATGGTTCAGTGTGAAGGATGCAAGGACTGGTATATGTTGTTTGACTATGTTAAAGTTCCCATTATGATAATGTTTTGTTTTAAAATAAGTTGAATGGTCTATGGAGCTTGTTAAAGGGTCATGCTAACATGTTAAGGATAGAATGTTGAATAAAGAAGAATGCATGGTTGAAGCCTTTGGATACAAAAGCATGGTAGGCTATTTATGATGAAGTAGAGTTCTACTGATACAATGATGATATTATTGCCATAATTAGAATATATGCCCTAAGCATTAGAACGCAATTTTCGTTTACATACATCTATGATTTACTTGAAAGGAAAGAAACAAACCTTTTCATAATCAGTTCCTATAATTAAACGTAATAAAACAATTAAAAGGGAGCTACTTGGTTTGATCGCCTAGACACTGGGATTTTCATGATCTCGTTGTCGGCTTTACTCAGATAAAGAAACGAATCACTTCCGTATTTATTCTTGTTTCTGCATGAGAATCATTGTCCTAATACAGTTGTTATTTTCTTGCCTTTAGTTTCGCAAAATTTTGTTCTATCACTTCAAGTGCATTTTTCATTAAGCTTAACATTGGCAGGGGTGGAGCTAGGAATGTTATGTAGGAGTGGTTCGGCCTTTTGTTGTAAGATACCAATGATAAAAAAATTGCATCGCATGTTTTGGAACAAATGGAGTGAGTATATTGTCACATCTAACCATGATTCAAATCTACTTGACCATAAGTAACATAAAGATGATAGCCCAATTAAAGTTGTACATTAAACTACGTTGACTTATACTTCATGCAAAAAGAAGTTGTATATTAAATCACCATGGTGACTGCAATAACGAGTCGTTTAGAACATTCATTCAATAATAAGGTTACCATCTATCAAGATCTAAATCTAAAATATTAAGTCAAAGATATATTATACCCAAATTCCGTTGACAAAAGCAACTTCAATTTCCATTTTCCCAAATAAGACATTCAAATCTAAACCATATAAGATGCTTCAATAAAGATTTAATCTTTCTATGCTAGTGCAAAGGCTACAAAGATAGGGATTTGATAGGGGCTAAGAACAAACCATCATTTGGGGTTGTTTATTGATAAAAAATTGCTTTTACATTGTAAGGGACAATTGGCCAACAGTTGAGGGGGCCTGAGCTGATGCATCAGCATGCCCCCTCTGCTAACTATGCCTCTCAACATTAGCATTTTGCTTGAGAGGCCTGTTTCTGGACTAGGGAATTTGATCTCTTGTTGATTTTGTTTTCAATGCCTGATGGCTACAACTGTCTGAATGGCTTTTCATTAGTTTTCCACCATTGCTTTGGTATGGTAGCAATCAAGAATTCGTCAGTTATGTGAGGTCTTCGACTGTAAGGAGGATGGCTGATAATTGATTTGTAAGGTTGAATGTCAAATGGACCTGGGTGTATTTATATTCAAGTATGCCTTGCTGAAATCTGCTGAGGCAAAAAGATCTTCAGAACAATTGTTTTTCTTTCTGAAAAAGAACCCTCATAAACATGGTTGCCATTATTTGTGATGAAGAGCATTGGGTTGAGTTATTAGATCCAGTCTGGAGAGCGGTGGTTGGATTAGGGCTCTCGTGCCTATGAAGCTTGTTCTGTTGCCCCTCAACCCTCAAATTTGTTTGATCTGTTCTGTCTATCATCACACAATTAGGCCAACATGTTTGAGCCACCTTCATATATACAAAACAACATTGATGGTTTTACTGTGTTCGAGGTTTCTCTATATGTATTTTAATGATCGTTATAATGTCTGCACCTCATCCTGTACCCAACATTTCTTGTGATATTGTTCGATTGTTTTTTAAATCTACAAAATATCAACATTTTGGCCCTATTCACTGCCTTAAATGTTACTATTACATGTGAGAAACAACAGAAATATCTTCACTACCCCCTAAGTCTTGTATTATGCATCTCACTTCCTTCTTTTTCTTACAGAACATCCAGACCATCTAGGTCAAATATGACTTTGAAAATGGCAAAGCTTGCTTACACTTTTAAGATATTATAGAATTCATGGTTCTCTGTGTGAGATCTAAGATCTCCATCTTTCTTAGATACCCAATCATTGTAACCAAGGAATGACACAAATTTGTGTTATGATTTTGAATTAAGACAAAGGCATCATAGGTGCAACATTTGTTTTAAAAATCTGTGTTGTTGAGGTGTAACATTCAATATTTAGGGAGGAGGTAGAACTGAGAAGAAGATCATCAAGGATTGTTGGGTTATTACTTCGTATTACTATCACATACCTGTTTTGGGGGTTCACTTTTGCATATTGGTAACGAAAGATAGGGTTCCTGTTTCTATTTCTGTAGTTCTCAGAGGGCGCATCCTACCATTTTCTTCATTTATATAGAGTTTGTTTGATCCTTCCCATCTTTCCTTCACCAACCCCTCTCCCAAAGGAATTATGCTCCTTTTCTTTAGGTTTATTAACATCATGACGTCCTCGTGACACTCAAAGGCGGGTGTCTACATCTGGTTATGTTGCTTGTGCTGCTTAACAAATCTTTGTGCCCATTTGACGGATATTGGCGTTCGAAACGGATACTTATACGTACATTATATCTATATGTATCATAAACATACCGGCATGCACACATGTCATCTTTCTTTTCATGGGTAGCTGGTGAATTGACTATTATCATGGTTAAGCTATATATCAGCTATTTATTTGCATTTTTATTGCGGATTGTTCTACCAGAAGGTTTTCTGGAAACGGGAAAGCATTTTTGTCTTGCTACACATATCTAACTGAGTATTCTTTTGTGTGCTTCCGTAAATCATGCAGGTTTCATCCTTCTTGCATGGGTATGACAATTGAGGAGGCCAAGAAGCTGGACCAGTTTTTGTGTTCAGATTGCTCCTCTGATGATGATGCCAAAAGACCATTGAACTCATTCCCAGTATCACCTTCTGGTGATGCCAAGGTTAGAAGCCATTTCATCCACCATTTATCACCGTGAAACTTACCACCAATTCTTTGTAGAAAAAGAGATGTGATGTAGTATTCTCTTAATTACGCCTTTGTGAGCTTGGTGTTAAGATTGGTGGTCAGCCATAGATTTACTCATTTTGCATCAGCGTTGATGTAAATTTACAATAAAAGTAACTATGTTCATATCGACTTCTATGTTAAGAATCATTAGTAAGCGTTTTGTTGGTTGTAAATTTGTCATCTTTTGTGGACACACCTATCAGTTTTAGCAATACACCCTCTTCTCTAATATATATATTCCCCCTAACCCTTTATATATTTGTATACAAGGGCGTATACCCGAAAAGAGGAATCTTTAAAGGTGCATAGGCCATCGAAGGATGAACGTTCTAACTTCTAAGTTGGTATTGTTGGCTTCCGTGGATCAACATTCAATTCTTCAAACCCCCCTTTGGAATTTGAAAAAAGATTACAATATCTGCACTCGTAGCGATATGTAGTTTATTATTATATTCTAAGACTTATATTTGGTCGGTGCAGGTGGAGCCGAAACGCAGAAAGCGATGACCGACCAACTGACGGGTGAAAGGAGGTAATGATTTTGTTGAGTTCTTATTTAGCTCCATCCAGCTTTATTGTTGTGGGGAAAATTGTATAGTGCAAAGAAGAGAGTGTGGTTGCACAATCAATAAGCCTTCTGTTATTTATTGTGTGAAATATACCATCTATCTTTGCCTTCCTTAATGCTAGACTAGCTGAACAAAAAAGTTAAAACTTAGTGCAGATTAAGGTTGAAATGAGAATTCATGGCACTCTTGTGATATATCTATTCGGGTATTTATTTTAACTATAATTTATAGGATCGGGGTTCCGGTGAGAACTCCCCCTTTTCATGAGAACCACTTTGCAGCCCTTGATTCGTTTTTATAGTGTTTGATCCAACCGCGGATTGAAGGCATCAAGGAGGGGCATTTTGGTCTTTTGGGGTATGTTCAATGCTTGTCATGTTAAATTTTTTAATGTAATGGTATGCTAATGTTTGTTTCAGATTTGTTTAGGTTAGTCGAAGTATGTTTATGTTTTAGTTACGTCTATGTCATTGCGTTTTTTCTGGTCCTTGGAGTTAACGGATAAAGGGTTATGAGGTGGTTCTCACGAAATGTGAAAGTTCTCATATGATTTTGGGACTATATGTACACTATATACAAATATATTGTGTGTGTGTATGTATGTATATATATAGGGTCATGTCCAAACGAAAAGGTGAGACGAGAAGTTCCAAGACACATGTGACACAAACATGTGTTGACACCTGACATGCCACTTTGGACCTATTGTATCACGTGTGATTTTGATCTGTAATCATATTTGATCTTGGAACTTCTCGTTTTCTTGCAAATTGACCGAGCCTCTTCTATATATATATATATATATATATATATATATATATATATATATATAGGAGTG